GGGGCACCGGGCGCCTCCCGGGCGGGTCCTGGCGCTCTGCTTTGACGCCCCGGGCGAGTCCTGTGGGCAGGGGACGATCAGGGGTCCGTGTCCTCCTTCCTCTGCGACCCTGCTACTGGTACGGGGGCTGAGGGACTAGAGGGGCACTGGGGGGCACTGGGGGCGATGGGGGTCCGTGTCCTCCTTCCTCTGCGACCCCGCCACTGGTACGGGGGGTACCCGGGATGGGGGGCTCTGGGGGGACACTGGGGGCGATGGGGGTCCGTGTCCTCCTTCCTCTGCGACCCCGCCACCGGTACAGGGGGCTGAGGGACTGGGGGCTCTGGGGGGGCACTGGGAGGGGTTTGGGGGGCACTGGGAGGGGTTGGGGGCGATGGGGTCCGTGTCGTCCTTCCTCTGCGACCCCGCCACCGGTACGGGGGCTGAGGGACTGGGGGCTCTGGGGGGCACTGGGAGGGGTTTGGGGGCACGGGGAGGGGTTTGGGGGGCACTTGGGAGGGATTGGGGGGGCTCTGGGAGGGGTTTGGGGGCACTGGGAGGGGTTGGGGGCACTGGGAGGGTTTGGGGGGCACTGGGAGGGATTGGGGGCACTGGGAGGGTTTGGGGGGTCACTGGGAGGGGGTTTGGGGGCACTAGGAGGGGTTTGGGGGCTCTGGGAGGGATTTGGGGGCTCTGGGAGGGGTTGGGGGGGCACTGGGAGGTTTGGGGCCTCTGGGAGGGTTGGGGGCACTGGGAGGAGTTTGAGGGGCACTGGGAGGGTTTGGGGGCACTGGGAGGAGTTTGAGGGGCACTGGGAGGGGTTTGGGGGGGCACTGGGAGGGGTTTGGGGGCACTGAGAGGGGTTTGGGGGGCTCTGGGAGGAGTTTGAGGGGCACTGGGAGGGGCTTGGGGCTCTGGGAGGATTTGGGGGCTCTGGGAGGGCTTGGGGGCACTGGGAGGGGGTTTGGGGGGCACTGGGAGGGATTAGGGGGCACTGGGAGGGGTTTGGAGGCACTGGGAGGGATTGGGGGGCACTGGGAGGGGTTGGGGGCACTGGGAGGGTTAGGGGGCTCTGGGAGGGTTTGGGGGCACTGGGAGGGGTTTGGGGGGCTCTGGGAGGGGTTTGGGGGGCACTGGGAGGGGTTGGGGGCTCTGTGAGGGGTCCAGGGGCTGGGGCGCCCTGGCAGGTTGTTGGGGTGGGGGCTACGCTGGTCCTGGGGGGACAGTCGGGGCCATGGGGGGCACTGTGGATGCTGGGGGGCTGTGCTGTCCGGGGGGGCTCTGGGGGGTCTCTGTGCCCTGACCTCCGCGCCCCCAGGCCGGCTGACCAAGGGGTCCCAGGTGCTGGTCCAGGGGGTTATGGGGGCACTGTGGATGCTGGGGGGTCTGTCCTGCCCTGACCCTCATGCCCCCAGGCCAGCTGACTAAGGGTCCCAGGTGCTGGTCCGGGGGTTATGGGGGTGATGGGGGCTCTAGGGGGTGGTCTCTCCTGCTCTGACCCCCGCCCCCAGGCCAGCTGACCAAGGGTGCCGGGTGCTGGTCCAGGGGGTTATGGGGAGCACTGGGGGGCACTGTGGATGCTGGGGGGGCTGTGCTGCTCCGGGGGTCTGGGGAGTCTCTGTGTGCCCTGACCCCGCGCCCCCAGGCCGGCTGACCAAGGCCTCCAGGGTGCTGGTCCAGGGGGACACTGGGGGTGATGGGGGTCTGTGCTGATCTGGGGGCACAGGGGGGTCCCAGGGATCTCTCCTGCCCTGACCCCCCTGCGCCCCCCAGGCCGGCTGACCAAGGCCTCGCGGGTGCTGGTCCAGGGGGGTTATGGGGGTGATGGGGGCTCTAGGGGGTTCTGTCCCTGCCCTGACCCCCCCGTGCCCCCCAGGCCGGCTGACCAAGGCCTCCCGGGTGCTGGTCCAGGGGGGGTTATGGGGGGCACTGTGGATGCTGGGGGGGGTCTCTGTGTGCCCTGACCCCACGCCCCAGGCCGGCTGACCAAGGGGTCCCGGGTGCTGGTCCAGGGGGTTCTGGGGGCACTGGGGGGCACTGTGGATGCTGGGGGGGGGCTGTCCCTGCCCTGACCCCCCCGCGCCCCCCAGGCCGGCTGACCAAGGCCTCCCGGGTGCTGGTCCAGGCGGGCGGGTCCATCACGTCGCTCTCGGCCCGGGCCTGGGCGAGCCGGGAGGCTCCGGACCCCTCCCTGCTCGTCAACGCCTGCCCCGACCGCCTCCTGCTCTTCCGGTACCGGGGGGGCCCCCAGGGACCACCGGGGGGGAGGGGAGACATGGCCGGGACCACCCGGGGTGGGGGGAACCGATTGGGACCACCCGGGGTGGGGGAAACATCACCGGGAATGGGGGAACCGATTGGGACCCCATTGGGACCCCCAGGGTGGGGGGGAACCCATTGGGACCCCCGGGGTGGGGGGAACATCAGAGGGACCACCCGGGGTGGGGGGGACATTGCTGGGACCACCCAGGATGGGGGGAACCCATTGGGACCCCCGGGGTGGGGGGAAACATCGCTGGGACCCCTGGGGTGGGGGGAAACATCGCTGGGACCACCTGGGGAGGGGGAAACATCAGCGGGACCACTGGGAGGGAGGGAAACATCACTGGGAATGGGGGAACCCATTGGGACCCCATTAGGACCCCGGGGTGGGAAACATCACTGGGACCACCTGGGGTGGGGGGAACATCAGAGGGACCACGGGGAGAGAGGGAAACATCACCGGGAATGGGGGAACCCATTGGGACCCCCGGGGTGGGGGGAACATCACTGGGACCCCCAGGGTGGGGGGAGACACTGCGGGGACCACCCAGGATGGGGGAAACATCGCTGGGACCACCCGGGGTGGGGGAAACATCAGAGGGACCACCTGGGGTGGGGGAAACATCACTGGGACCCCCAGGGTGGGGGGAGACACTGCAGGGACCACCAGGGTGGGGGAAACATCAGAGGGACCACCGGGAGAGAGGGAAACATCACCGGGAATGGGGGAACCCATTGGGACCCCCAGGGTGGGGGAAGCATCAGCGGGACCAGCCAGGGAGGGGGAAACATCAGAGGGACCACGGGGAGAGAGGGAAACATCACCGGGAATGGGGGAACCCATTGGGACCCCATTGGGACCCCCAGGGTGGGGGAAACATCGCTGGGACCACCTGGGGTGGGGGGAACATCAGAGGGACCACCCGGGATGGAGGGAAACATCACCGGGAATGGGGGAACCCATTGGGACCCCCGGGGTGGGGGGAACTCTTTGGGACCCCCAGGGTGGGGGGAGACACTGCAGGGACCACCCAGGATGGGGGAAACATCGCTGGGACCACCCGGGATGGGGGAACATCAGAGGGACCACCTGGGGTGGGGGAAACATCACTGGGACCCCCAGGGTGGGGGGAGACACTGCAGGGACCACCCAGGATGGGTGAAACATCGCTGGGACCACCCCGGGGTGGGGGGAACCCGTTGGGACTCCCGGGGGGAGGGGAGGAAACACCACTGAGACCCCCCGGGGAGGGAGGGACCCCCGAGGTGGGGAGGGGGAACCCCACTGGGACCCCTGGAAGAGGAATTTTTGGGGGGGTTTTGGGATGCAGGACTGACCCCTCCTTTGCCCCCCCAGGGTGGTGGAAGACGAGAGGGGCTCGGGGGGATTTTGGGGGGTTCAGGGCAGTTTTGGGGTGCAGGACTGACCCCCCCCTTTGCCCCCCCAGGGTGGTGGAAGACGAGGGGGGTTCTGAGGGGTCTCAGGGCAGTTTTTGGGTGCAGGACTGACCCCCCCTTTGCCCCCCCAGGGTGGTGGAAGACGAGGGGGGCTCGGGGGGGGTTCAGGGCAGTTTTTGGGTGCAGGACTGACCCCCCCTTTGCCCCCCAGGGTGATGGAAGACGAGGGGGGCTCAGAGGAAGTTTTGGGGGTTCTCAGGAGTTTTGGGGGGTCTCAGGGTATTTTGGGTGCAGCACTGACCCCTCCTTTGCCCCCCCAGGGTGGTGGAAGACGAGGGGGGCTCGGGGGGATTTTGGGGGGTTCAGGGCAGTTTTTGGGGTGCAGGACTGACCCCTCCTTTGCCCCCCCAGGGTGGTGGAAGACGAGGGGGGCTCGGGGGCTCCGGGGCTGCGGCTCCGCCGGAGTTTCCCGACGCGGCACCGGGAGCAGCCCCTGAGGAGCTGCTTCTGCCCCCTCATGTCCTTCCGACAGGGGGCCTGCGTGGGTACGAGTGGGGGCACAGGGGGTCTGGGAGGTTGTGGGGGTACAGGGGGTACAGGGACCAGGGGGATGGGGGACCCCAGGAGCTGCTTCTGCCCCCTCATGTCCTTCCGCCAGGGGGCCTGCGTGGAGTGCGGATGGGGGGCACAGGGGGGTTATTGGGGGTCCAGGGGGCAGCAGGAGCTGCTTCTGCCCCCTCATGTCCTTCCCGGCAGGGGCCTGTGTGGGTACGGCCGGGGGGTCTGGGGGGTTAGTGGGGGTCTGGGGGGTTATTGGGGGTACAGGGGGTAGCAGGAGCTGCTTCTGCCCCCTCATGTCCTTCCGGCAGGGGGCCTGCGTGGGTACGGCCGGGGGGCTGTGGGGGCACGGGGAGTCCTCAGGGGGCACGGGGGGTTATTGGGGGCTCCAGGGGGTACCAGGAGCTGCTTCTGCCCCCTCATGTCCTCTCTGACAGGGGGCCTGCGTGGGTACGAGTGGGGGGTCTGGGGGGCACAGGTGAGGTTATTGGGGGTCTGGGGGCACCAGGACCGAGGGCACGGGAGGATCAGTGCGGGCACCAGAGCTGCTTCTGCCCCCTCATGTCCTTCCGCCAGGGGACCTGTGTGGGTACGGATGGGGAGTCTGGGGGGCACAGGGGGTTATTGGGGAGGGTACAGGGGCACAGGGACCAGGGGCATCAGGGCTGCTTCTGCCCCTCATGTCCTTCCGCCAGGGGGCCTGCCTGGGTACGGATGGGGGGCACGAGGGGGGTTATTGAGGGGCACAGGGACCAGGGGGCAGCAGGAGCTGCGTCTGCCCCCTCATGTCCCTTCCGCCAGGGAGGCCTGCGTGGGTACGGCCAGGGGGCTGTGAGGGTCTGGGGGGGCTCAGGGGGCCACGGGAGTTATTGGGAGCTCAGGGAGTATCAGGAGCTGCTTCTGCCCCTCATGTCCTTCTGACAGGGGCCTGCGTGGAGTACGGATGGGGGTCTGGGGGCACAGGGGGTCCCAGGGGGTATGGGGGTGCCCCAGGACTGGGGCACGGGAGGATCCGGGGGGCACCAGGAGCTGCTTCTGCCCCCTCATGTCCTTCTGACAGGGGCCTGCGTGGGTACAGCCGGGGGCTCTGGGGGAGTTATTGGGGGTACAGGGGTGCACGGGGACCAGGGATCCAGGGGGCACCAGGAGCTGCTTCTGCCCCTCATGTCCTTCTGGGGAGTGGGGGGGCACAGGGGAGTACCAGGGGGTTATGGGGGTATCTGGGGATGGGGGGATATGGGGGTGGTCAGTGGTCACTCAGGGTGGTCACTCAGGCTGTTTCCCCCCCCCCAGTGACAGGCAGCGAGGATTCAGTGAGGGGTCAGTGAGGGGTCAGTGGTCACTCAGAGGGGTCAGTGGTCACTCAGGGTGGTCACTCAGGGTGTTTCCCCAGTGACGGGCAGCGAGGATTCAGTGAGTGGTCAGTGGTCACTCAGGGGGGTCAGTGAGTGGTCAGTGGTCACTCAGGGGGGTCAGTGAGTGGTCAGTGGTCACTCAGGGTGGTCACTCAGGGTGGTCACTCAGGGTGTTTGTCCCCCCCCAGTGACGGGCAGCGAGGATTCAGTGAGGGGTCAGTGAGGCGTCAGTGGTCACTCAGAGGGGTCAGTGAGGGGTCAGTGGTCACTCAGGAGGGGTCAGTGGTCACTCAGAGGGGTCAGTGAGGGATCAGTGAGTGGTCAGTGGTCACTCAGGGTGGTCACTCAGGCTGTTTTCCCCCCCCAGTGACGGGCAGCGAGGATTCAGTGAGGGGTCACTGAGTGGTCAGTGGTCACTCAGGGTGGTCACTCAGGCTGTTTCCCCCCCCAGTGACGGGCAGCGGGGATTCAGTGAGGGTCACTGAGTGGTCAGTGAGTGGTCAGTGGTCACTCAGGGTGGACACACCCCCTTCAGGCTGTTCCCCCCCAGTGACGGGCAGTGAGGATTCCTGCGTGCACTTCTTCGACGTGGGGCGCGCGGGGCGGGCGACGCTGAACACGCTGCAGGGGCACGGAGCGGCCGTGCTGGCCGTGGCCTTCAACTGCGACGAGTCCCTGCTGGCCTCGGGGGACGCTGCCGGCACTGTCATCGTCTGGAGACGCCAGCACCCCTGAAACCACCCAAAACTGCCAAAATACCCCAAAAATACCCAAAAACCACCCCAAAAATCATAAAAACCCCCCAAACCCAGCCCTGGCCTTCAACTGCGACGAGTCCCTGCTGGCCTCGGGGGACGCTGCTGGCACTGTCATCGTCTGGAGGCGCCAGCACCCCTGAGACCACCCAAAACTGCCCAAAAACCACCCCAAAAATCATAAAATCCACCCCAAACCCAGCCCTGGCCTTCAACTGCGACGAGTCCCTGCTGGCCTCGGGGGATGCTGCTGGCACTGTCATCGTCTGGAGGCGCCAGCACCCCTGAAACCACCCAAATATACCCCAAAAACACCCAAAAACCACCCCAAACCCGGCCCTGGCCTTCAACTGCGACGAGTCCCTGCTGGCCTCGGGGGATGCTGCTGGCACCGTCATCGTCTGGAGGCGCCAGCACCCCTGAAACCACCCAAATATACCCCAAAAACCACCCAAACCACCCAAACCACCCCAAATCTAACCCCCCCAAACCCAGCCCTGGCCTTCAACTGCGACGAGTCCCTGCTGGCCTCGGGGGATGCCACCGGCACTGTCATCGTCTGGAGGCGCCAGCACCCCTGAAACCACCCAAAAATACCCCAAAAACCACCCCAAAAATCATAAAAACCACCCCAAAAACTCCCCCAAACCCAGCCCTGGCCTTCAACTGCGACGAGTCCCTGCTGGCCTCGGGGGATGCTGCTGGCACTGTCATCGTCTGGAGACGTCAGCACCCCTGAAACCACCCAAATATACCCCAAAAACACCCAAAAACCACCCCAAACCCGGCCCTGGCCTTCAACTGCGACGAGTCCCTGCTGGCCTCGGGGGATGCCACCGGCACTGTCATCGTCTGGAGGCGCCAGCACCCCTGAAACCCCCAAAAATACCCCAAAAACCACCCCAAAAATCATAAATCCACCCCAAACCCAGCCCTGGCCTTCAACTGCGACGAGTCCCTGCTGGCCTCGGGGGATGCCACCGGCACTGTCATCGTCTGGAGGCGTCAGCACCCCTGAGACCCCAAAAACTGCCCCAAAAATACCCCAAAAATCATAAAAACCACCCCAAACCCAGCCCTGGCCTTCAACTGCGACGAGTCCCTGCTGGCCTCGGGGGATGCCGCTGGCACTGTCATCGTCTGGAGGCGCCAGCACCCCTGAGACCACCCAAAACTGCCCCAAAAACACCCAAAAACCACCCCAAAACCACCCCAAACCCGGCCCTGGCCTTCAACTGCGACGAGTCCCTGCTGGCCTCGGGGGATGCTGCTGGCACTGTCATCGTCTGGAGGCGCCAGCACCCCTGAAACCCCCAAAAAACACCCAAAAATACCCCAAAAACCATCCTGGGGTCCATAAAAAGCACCCTGGGATCCATAAAAACCAACCTGAAATCCATCAAAACCACCCTGAGTTCCATAAAACCCCCCTGGGATCCATAAAACCCCCCCTGAGACCCCCAAACCCCCTGAGACCCCAAGCCTCCCTGAGACCCCCAAACAGGGCCGTGCCCTCGAGCTGTGCCCGTCCCTGCTGGCCCTGGCTGACACTGCCAGCGCTGTCATCGTCTGGAGAGGGCAACAGACCCGAGACCCCCCCCCCAAATTCCACCCTGACCCCACCCAGATGTCTCCAAATGCCCCTTAGACCCCCAAACTTTCTGGGGCCCCAAACCCCCAGCCCGGCTGTGACCTTCACCTGTGATGAGTTGCTGGCACCATCACACCTGAGCCCCAAACTCCTCCCAGATCCCCTGACCCCCAAACTCCCCCAAGACCCCCAAACTTTCCTGGGACCCCAAATTCCCCCTAGCACGGCTGTGACCTTCCGTGAGGAGTCGCTGTGTGACATCATCACCACACCTGAGACCCCCCAAACTCCCCTCCTGAGCCCCCAACCCCCTCAAATCCCTCCTAAATCCCCTGACACCCCAAAACGCCCCCAAGACTCCCCCAAACTCTCCTGGGACCCCCAAATCCCCCAGCACGGCCGTGACCTTCACCTGTGTGACATCATCACCACACCTGAGACACCCAAAACCCCTCCTGAGCCCCCAAACCCTCCCTGAGACCCCCAAAACCCCTCCCCGAGCCCCCAAACCCCTCCCCAGGCCCCCAAGCCCCTCCCCAGGCCCCCAAACCCCTCCCCAGGCCCCCAAACCCCTCCCCAGGCCCCCAGCCCCTCCCCAGGCCCCCAAGCCCCTCCCCCGTGCTGTGGCGGGCACAAAGCAGGCAGGGGGCGCGTGGTGGGCGTGGCCGAGGCAGGCCCAGGTGTATCAGAACAGGTACTTGCGGCACGAGGCCGCCCCGCACTTGCACTCGATGCGGCGCCGGGCGCGGGGAGCCCCCAGGGACCCCCACCAGCCCCGAAGTTGGAGTCCATCGCGGGTGCTCTCGGCGTCCACCGGGTCCACTGCGGGGGGAGGGAAAGGGGGTCAGGGAGGCTGGGACCCTGAGGACAGCCCAGGTATAGTCCAGGTAATGCCTGGACCACCCAGGTAACACCTGGACCACCCAGGGACAGCCCAGGTATAGTCCAGGTAATGCCTGGACCACCCAGGGACCACCTGGGACCACCCAGGGACAGCCCAGGTATAGTCCAGGTAATGCCTGGACCACCCAGGGACCACCTGGGACCACCCAGGGACAGCCCAGGGACCACCTGAGACCACCCAGGGACAGCCCAGGTATAGTCCAGGTAATGCCTGGGACCACCCAGGGACAGCCCAGACCCCCAGGTGTGACCCAGGTACAGCCCTGACCACCCAGGGACAGCCCAGGTATAGTCCAGGTAATGCCTGGACCACCCAGGGACCACCTGAGACCATCCAGGGACAGCCCAGGGACCACCCAGGGACAGCCCTGACCCCCCAGGGACAGCCCAGGTGACACCTGGACCCCTCAGGGACAGCCCTGACCACCCAGGGACAGCCCAGGTGACACCTGGACCACCCAGGGACAGCCCAGGGACCACCCAGGGACAGCCCAGGTAACACCTGGACCCCTCAGGGACAGCCCTGACCACCCAGGGACAGCCCAGGTATAGTCCAGGTGACACCTGGGACCACCCAGGGACAGCCCAGGTAATGCCTGGACCACCCAGGGCCAGCCCCGACCCCCAGGGACAGCCCAGGTACAGCCCTGACCAACCAGGTGTGACCCAGGGACAGCCCTGACCACCCAGGGACAGCCCAGGGACCCCCCAGGGACAGCCCAGGTACAGCCCTGACCAACCAGGTGTGACCCAGGGACAGCCCTGACCCCCAGGGACAGCCCAGGTACAGCCATGACCCCCCAGGTGTGACCCAGGTATAGCCCTGACCCCCCAGGTGTGACCCAGGTATAGCCCTGACCACCCAGGTGTGACCCAGGTACAGCCCTGACCACCCAAGGACAGCCCAGGTACAGCCCTGACCAACCAGGGACAGCCCAGGTACAGCCCTGACCACCCAGGTGTGACCCAGGTACAGCCCTGACCACCCAAGGACAGCCCAGGGACCACCTGGGACCACCCAGGGACAGCCCAGGTACCACCCTGACCCCCCCCAGGCACAGCCCAGGTACAGCCCAGGGACCACCCAGGGACAGCCCAGGTACCACCCTGACCCCCCCCAGGCACAGCCCAGATCCCCCAGGCACAGCCTGGACCCCCCAGGGGTGGCAGAGGTGTGAGGCAGGGCCAGGTGTGCCCAGGTATGCCCAGGTGTAATCCAGGTGTGTGCAGGTGTGTGATAGGTGTGCCCAGGGGTGTGTGGGTGTGTCCCAGGTGTAACCCAGGTGAGCCCAAGTGTGTCCCAGGTGTGTCCCAGGTGTGCCCAGGTGTATCCAGGTGTGTCCCAGGTGTGCCCAGGTGCGTACCGTGCATGTTGTAGTCAAAGGTGAGCTCCTCCCCGGCGCGGATGGGGGGTGTGTGGGGGTGTGTGTGGGTGCGTCCCAGGTGTGTGTGGGTGTGTCCCAGGTGTACCCAGGTGTGTGTGGGTGTGTCCCAGGTGTGTGTGGGTGTGTCCCAGGTGTGTGTGGGTGCGTCCCAGGTGTGTGTGGGTGTGTCCCAGGTGTACCCAGGTGTGTGTGGGTGTGTCCCAGGTGTGTGTGGGTGTGTCCCAGGTGTGTGTGGGTGCGTCCCAGGTGTGTGTGGGTGTGTCCCAGGTGTACCCAGGTGTGTGTGGGTGTGTCCCAGGTGTGTGTGGGTGTGTCCCAGGTGTGTGTGGGTGAGTGTGGGTGTGTCCCAGGTGCCCCCAGGTGCCCCCAGGTGCCCCAGGTGCGTACCGTGCATGTTGTAGTCGAAGGTGAGCTCCTCCCCGGCGCGGATGGGGGGTGTGGGGTGTGTGGGTGTGTCCCAGGTGTGTGTGGGTGTGTCCCAGGTGTACCCAGGTGTCCTAGGTGCCCAGGTGCCCCCAGGTGCCCCCAGGTGCGTACCGTGCATGTTGTAGTCGAAGGTGAGCTCCTCCCCGGCGCGGATGGGGTGTGTGTGGGTGTGTGTGGGTGTGTCCCAGGTGTGTGTGGGTGTGTCCCAGGTGCCCCCAGGTGTACCCAGGTGCCCCCAGGTGTGCCCAGGTGCGTGACCGTGCATGTTGTAGTCGAAGGTGAGCTCCTCCCCGGCGCGGATGGGGTGTGTGTGGGTGTGTCCCAGGTGTGTGTGGGTGGGTGTGGGTGTGTCCCAGGTGTGTGTGGGTGTGTCCCAGGTGTGTGTGGGTGTGTCCCAGGTGTGCCCAGGTGTGTCCCAGGTGTGTACCGTGCATGTTGTAGTCGAAGGTGAGCTCCTCCCCGGCGCGGATGGGGTGGGTGTGGGTGTGTGGGTGTGTCCCAGGTGTGTCCCAGGTGTGTGTGGGTGTGTCCCAGGTGTGTGTGGGTGTGTCCCAGGTGTGCCCAGGTGCCCCCAGGTGCCCCAGGTGCGTACCATGCATGTTGTAGTCGAAGGTGAGCTCCTCCCCGGCGCGGATGGGGTGTGTGTGGGTGTGTCCCAGGTGTGTGTGGGTGTGTGTGGGTGTGTCCCAGGTGCCCCCAGGTGTGCCCCAGGTGTGTACCGTGCATGTTGTAGTCGAAGGTGAGCTCCTCCCCGGCGCGGATGGGGTGGGTGTGGGTGTGTCCCAGGTGTGTGTGGGTGTGTCCCAGGTGTGTGTGGGTGTGTGTGGGTGTACCCAGGTGTGCCCAGGTGCCCCCAGGTGCGTACCGTGCATGTTGTAGTCGAAGGTGAGCTCCTCCCCGGCGCGGATGGGCCGCGTGGCGAACAGGGCGATGCGGGGCAGCCGCTGGTCCAGGTTCTCGATGAACACGTTGTAAACCTGCAGGTTGGGGTCGCACTGGCCCCGCCCACGACAGGTGAGGGGGGCGTGGCTGCTTCAAGCCCCACCCACCCCCCTCCTCTGGTGTGAATTTGAGCCCCTGGGGAGGTCCCGCCCTCGACACCTGAGAGGGCAGGTGAGGGAAAGCCCTGCCCACACCTGGGTAAGCCAGGCTTTACCAGACAGGTAAAGCTCCACCCCCTGGGCAGGTGAAGCCTCCAAACTCCCTGGACAGGTTTGTCCCCTCCCACACACAGGTGTGTCCCCATCCCCACACAGGTTTGTCCCCTCCCCCACACATGTGTGTCCCCATCCCCACACAGGTGTGTCCCCTCCCCATCCAGGTGTGTCCCCTCCCCATACAGGTGTGTCCCCTCCCCGCACAGGTGTGTCCCCTCCCCACACAGGTGTGTCCCCATCCCCATCCAGGTGTGTCCCCCTCCCCATCCAGGTGTGTCCCCATCCCCATACAGGCGTGTCCCCTCCCCACACAGGTGTGTCCCCTCCCCATCCAGGTGTGTCCCCATCCCCATACAGGCGTGTCCCCTCCCCACACAGGTGTGTCCCCTCCCCATCCAGGTGTGTCCCCATCCCCACACAGGTGTGTCCCCATCCCCACACAGGTGTGTCCCCATCCCCACACAGGTGTGTCCTCAGCCCCATACAGGTGTGTCCCCATCCCCACACAGGTGTGTCCCTGCCCCACACAGGTGTAACCATCCCCACACAGGTGTGTCCCCTCCCCACACAGGTGTGTCCCTGCCCCACACAGGTGTGTCCCCATCCCCATACAGGCGTGTCCCCTCCCCACACAGGTGTGTCCCTGCCCCACACAGGTGTGTCCCCTCCCCACACAGGTGTGTCCCCTCCCCATCCAGGTGTGTCCCCATCCCCATACAGGTGTGTCCCTGCCCCACACAGGTGTCCCCATCCCCACACAGGTGTGTCCCCATTCCCCACACAGGTGTGTCCCCATCCCCATACAGGTGTGTCCCCTCCCCATACAGGTGTGTCCCCTCCCCACACAGGTGTGTCCCCTCCCCACACAGGTGTGTCCCCATCCCCACACAGGTGTGTCCCCATCCCCATACAGGTGTGTCCCCATCCCCACACAGGTGTGTCCCCATCCCCACACAGGTGTGTCCCCTCCCCACACAGGTGTGTCCCCATCCCCATACAGGTGTGTCCCCATCCCCACACAGGTGTGTCCCTGCCCCACACAGGTGTGTCCCCATCCCCACACAGGTGTGTCCCTGCCCCACACAGGTGTGTCCCTGCCCCACACAGGTGTGTCCCCTCCCCCATCCAGGTGTGTCCCCCTCCCCACACAGGTGTGTCCCCATCCCCATACAGGTGTGTCCCCTCCCTATACAGGTGTGTCCCATCCCCACACAGGTGTGTCCCCTCCCCATCCAGGTGTGTCCCCATCCCCATCCAGGTGTGTCCCCTCCCCATACAGGTGTGTCCCCTCCCTATACAGGTGTGTCCCCTCCCCACACAGGTGTGTCCCCATCCCCACACAGGTGTGTCCCCCTCCCCACACAGGTGTGTCCCCATCCCCACACAGGTGTGTCCCCTCCCCCACACAGGTGTGTCCCCTCCCCACACAGGTGTGTCCCCATCCCCACACAGGTGTGTCCCTGCCCCACACAGGTGTGTCCCCATCCCCACACAGGTGTGTCCCCATCCCCACACAGGTGTGTCCCCTCCCCCATACAGGTGTCCCCCTCCCCACACAGGTGTGTCCCCATCCCCGTACAGGTGAGGGGTGTGACTCACGCTGTGGTTGACGAAGTGGGAGATGTTCCCGTAGTGGGCGGCGTCCACGGTGTAAACGTCCTCCACGTAGTCCAGGTCGAACAGGTACGTGGCACCCTGGCGGTCGTACACCTGTCCCCGGCGCTCCGCCTCCTCCGAGGTGATGATCTGAGAGACACACCTGGGTAACACCTGAACCCCACCTGAACCCCACCTGTACCCCCACACCTGTGTGACACACCTGAACCCCACCTGTACCCCCACACCTGTCCCCGGCGCTCCGCCTCCTCCGAGGTGATGATCTGAGAGACACACCTGGGTCACACCTGAACCCCCATCTGTACCCCCACACCTGTGTGACACACCTGAACCCCACCTGTACCCCCACACCTGTGTGACACACCTGAGTGACACACCTGAACCCCACCTGTACCCCCACACCTGTGTGACACACCTGTGTGACACACCTGTACCCCACCTGTACCCCCACACCTGTGTGACACACCTGAACTCCACCTGTACCCCCACACCTGTCCCCGGCACTCCGCCTCCTCCGAGGTGATGATCTGAGAGACACACCTGGGTGACACACCTGTACCCCACCTGTACCCCCACACCTGTGTGACACACCTGAACCCCACCTGTGACACACCTGTACCCCACCTGTACCCCCACACCTGTCCCCGGCGCTCCATCTCCTCCGAGGTGATGATCTGAGAGACACACCTGGGTCACACCTGAACCCCACCTGTGACACACCTGTACCCCTACACCTGTGTGACACACCTGAACCCCACTTGTACCCCACCTGTACCCCCACACCTGTCCCCGGCGCTCCGCCTCCTCCGAGGTGATGATCTGAGAGACACACCTGGGTCACACCTGAACCCCACCTGTACCCCACCTGTACCCCCACACCTGTGTGACACACCTGAACCCCACCTGTACCCCCACACCTGTGTGACACACCTGAGTGACACACCTGAACCCCACCTGTACCCCCACACCTGTGTGACACACCTGTGTGACACACCTGAACCCCACCTGTACCCTCCACACCTGTGTGACACACCTGAACTCCACCTGTACCCCCACACCTGTCCCCGGCACTCCGCCTCCTCCGAGGTGATGATCTGAGAGACACACCTGTGTGACACACCTGTGTGACACACCTGAACCCCACCTGTACCCTCCACACCTGTGTGACACACCTGGGTGACACACCTGAACCCCCACCTGTGACACACCTGAACCCCACCTGTATCCCCACACCTGTCCCTGGCGCTCCATCTCCTCCGAGGTGATGATCTGAGAGACACACCTGGGTCACACCTGAACCCCACCTGTACCCCCACACCTGTGTGACACACCTGAACCCCACCTGTACCCCCACACCTGTCCCCGGCGCTCCGCCTCCTCCGAGGTGATGATCTGAGAGACACACCTGGGTGACACACCTGAACCCCACCTGTGACACACCTGTACCCCCACACCTGTGTGACACACCTGGGTGACACACCTGAACCCCACCTGTGACACACCTGAACCCCACCTGTACCCCCACACCTGTGTGACACACCTGAACCCCACCTGTACCCCACCTGTACCCCCACACCTGGGTGACACACCTGAACCCCACCTGTACCCCCACACCTGTCCCCGGCGCTCCACCTCCTCCGAGGTGATGATCTGAGAGACACACCTGGGTCACACCTGAACCCCACCTGTGACACACCTGTACCCCACCTGTACTCCCACACCTGTGTGACACACCTATGTGACACACCTGAACCCCACCTGTACCCCCACACCTGTCCCCGGCGCTCCACCTCCTCCGAGGTGATGATCTGAGAGACACACCTGGGTCACACCTGAACCCCACCTGAACCCCACCTGGGTCACACCTGTCCCTGTGTCACACCTGTGCCATCACACCTGTCTGGTGTGTCTCACCTCTCCCACGTACTCCATGACGAAGGAGTTCTTGCGGATGCGCTGCAGGGTGCGCACGCCCCAGCCCTGTCACACCTGTGTCACACCTGGGTCACACCTGTCCCTGTGTCACACCTGTGCCATCACACCTGTGTCAGGTGTCTCACCTCTCCCACGTACTCCATGACGAAGGAGTTCTTGCGGATGCGCTGCAGGGTGCGCACGCCCCAGCCCTGTCACACCTGTGTCACACCTGTGTCACACCTGTACCTGTGTCACACCTGTCCCATCACACCTGTGCCAGGTGTCTCACCTCTCCCACGTACTCCATGACGAAGGAGTTCTTGCGGATGCGCTCCAGGGTGCGCACGCCCCAGCCCTGTCACACCTGTGTCACACCTGTCCCATAGCACACCTGTACCTGTATAACACCTGTGCCAGGTGTCTCACCTCTCCCACGTACTCCATGACGAAGGAGTTCTTGCGGATGCGCTGCAGGGTGCGCACGCCCCAGCCCTGTCACACCTGTGTGTGTCACACCTGTGTCACACCTGTGTCACACCTGTGTCACACCTGTCCCATCACACCTGTACCTGTATAACACCTGTCTCACCTCTCCCACGTACTCCATGACGAAGGAGTTCTTGCGGATGCGCTGCAGGGTGCGCACGCCCCAGCCCTGTCACACCTGTGTCACACCTGTGCCATCACACCTGTCCCATCACACCTGTGCCAGGTGTCTCACCTCTCCCACGTACTCCATGACGAAGGAGTTCTTGCGGATGCGCTGCAGGGTGCGCACGCCCCAGCCCTGTCACACCTGTGTCACACCTGTACCTGTGTCACACCTGTCCCATCACACCTGTCTCACCTCTCCCACGTACTCCATGACGAAGGAGTTCTTGCGGATGCGCTGCAGGGTGCGCACGCCCCAGCCCTGTCACACCTGTCCCATCACACCTGTCTCACCTCTCCCACGTACTCCATGACGAAGGAGTTCTTGCGGATGCGCTGCAGGGTGCGCACGCCCCAGCCGCGGCCGTCGGCGGTGCGGAAGATGCACAGGTCGTAGCGGATGCCGCGCTGCACCACGCGGTTGGGGCAGTCGGCGCCGCAGCGGCAGCGCGAGTTGCACTCGTAGATGGGCAGCCCGGCGCGGATCCGCACCTGCCCCGCCTCGTTGTAGGCGAAGCGGTTGCGGGAGGCGCCGGGGCAGCAGCCCCCGCCCGCCACCGCCTCCGCCAGGCAGTCCTGGCACTCGCAGCCCACGGCCACGGGGGACAGGGACACCCCTGCGCCCACCTGGGGGGGATAAAAATGGGGGTTATGGGTTAACATTCCCCCCACGGCCACGGGGGACAGCGACACCCCTGCGCCCACCTGGGGGACAAAAACAGGGGTTATGGGTTAACATTCCCCCCACGGCCACGGGGGACAGGGACACCCCCGCTCCCACCTGGGGGGGACACAGAAATGGGGGTTATGGGTTAACATTCCCTGCCAGACAGTCCTGGCACTCACAGCCCACGGCCACGGGGGACAGGGACACCCCTGCTCCCACCTGGGGGACAAAAACAGGGATCATGGGTTAACATTCCCTGCCAGACAGTCCTGGCACTCGCAGCCCACGGCCACGGGGGACAGGGACACCCCTGCGCCCACCTGGGGGGGACAAAAACAGGGGTTATGGGTTAATATCCCCCCACGGCCACGGGGGACAGGGACACCCCTGCTCCCACCTGGGAGGACAAAAACAGGGATCATGGGTTAACATCCCCCTCCAGGCAGTCCCAGCACTCACAGCCCACGGCCACGGGGGACAGGGACACCCCTGCGCCCACCTGGGGGGGATAAAAATGGGGGTTATGGGTTAACATCCCCCGCCAGGCAGTCCCGGCACTCGCAGCCCACGGGCACGGGGGACAGGGACACCCCTGCTCCCACCTGGGGGACAAAAATGGGGGGGTTATGGGTTAACAGCCCCCGCCAGGCAGTCCCGGCACTCACAGCCCACGGCCACGGGGGACAGGGACACCCCTGCTCCCACCTGGGGGGGACACAGAAATGGGGGGGGGTTATGGGTTAACAGCCCCCTCCAGGCAGTCCTGGCACTCGCAGCCCACGGGGGACAGGGACACCCCTGCGCCCACCTGGGGGGGATAAAAATGGGGGTTATGGGTTAACATCCCCTGCCAGGCAGTCCCGGCACTCACAGCCCACGGGGGACAGGGACACCCCTGCTCCCACCGGGGGGGGACACAGAAATGGGGGGGTTATGGGTTAACATTCCCCCCACGGCCACGGGGGACAGGGACACCCCTGCTCCCACCTGGGGGGGACAGAGAGGGGGTTATGGGTTTAACAGCCCCCTCCAGGCAGTCCTGGCACTCACAGCCCACGGGGGACAGGGACACCCCTGCTCCCACCTGGGGGACAAAAACAGGGATCATGGGTTAACATCCCCCACCAGGCAGTCCCGGCACTCACAGCCCACGGCCACGGGGGACAGGGACACCCCTGCTCCCACCTGGGGGGGATAAAAATGGGGGTTATGGGTTAACAGCCCCCACCAGGCAGTCCTGGCACTCACAGCCCACGGCCACGGGGGACAGGGACACCCCTGCTCCCACCTGGGGGGGACATAGAAATGGGGGGGTTATGGGTTAACATCCCTCTGCCAGGCAGTCCCGGCACTCGCAGCCCACGGGGGACAGGGACACCCCTGCGCCCACCTGGGGGGGATAGAAATGGGGGGGGTTATGGGTCATATTTGATGGTTTTATACAGTGTGGGACCTGAGGGAGGGGATGGACAGGGACACCCCTGCTCCCACCTGGGGGGGACAGGAAGGGATTTACAGGTCATATTTGATGGTTTTATACAGTGTGGGACCTGAGGGAGGGGATGGACAGGGACACCCCTGCTCCCACCTGGGGGGGACACAGGGATTTACAGGTCATATTTGATGATTTATATAGTGTGGAACATGAGGGAGGGGATGGACAGAGACACCCCACATGCCCACCTGGGGGGATGGCAGGAAGGGATTTACAGGTCAGGAGTATAAAATATTTTATAGTTATAGATGGATAGATACAGATAGATAGACAGATAGATGGTAGATAGATAGATAGATAGATAGTAGATAGATAGATAGATAGATCAATAGATAGATAGATAGATAGATAGATAGGTAGATGGACAGATACAGACAGACAGACTATGTGATCTTAGGGAAGTCCCTCGGGAATGAGGGAGGGGATGGACAGAGACACCCCCACGCCCACCTGGGGGGGATGAAAGGGATTTATAGGTCAGGAATATAAAATATTTTATAGTTATAGATGGATAGATACAGAGAGATAGACTATGTGATCTTAGGGAGGTCCCTCGGGAATTAGGGAAGGGGATGGGCAGAGACACCCCTGTGCCCACATGGGGGACAGAAATGGGGGTTATGGGTCACATTTTCTATACAGTGTGGGACCTGAGGGAGGGGATGAACAGAGACACCCCCATGCCCACCTGGGGGTACAGGAAGGGATTTACAGGTCATATTTGATGATTTATACAGTGTGGAACATGAGGGAGGGGATGGACAGAGACACCCCCACATCCACCTGGGGGGGATGAAAGGGATTTATAGGTCAGGAATATAAAATATTTTATAGTTATAGGTAGATAGATACAGATAGATAGATTAGATAGATATAGATAGACGTAGAAAGATATAGAGATAGGTATAGATAGATATAAATACAGATATAGATAGAGATAGCTAGAGATAGCTAGATAAATAGACAGATGATTGATAGATAGATGGATAGATAGATAGATAGGTAGATAGATAGATAGATAAATAGATAGATAGATAGATAGATAGATAGATAAATAGATAGATAGGTAGATAGGTAGGTAGAGAGGTCCCTCCAGGGCTCTGTGGGTCTCTCTAGGGCCCTGTGGGTCCCTCCATGGCTCTGTGGGTCCCTCCAGGGCTCTGTGGCTCTCTCTGTATCTCCGTAGCTCCCTTCCAGCGCTCCCCAAATCCCCCCCCATCCCTCCTCTCTCCTCCCTCCCCCCCAGCCCACCTTGTAGTCGTTGCCGTAGACGAAGTCTGGGGGCGGGCCGTGCAGGTCCACGTCGTTCTCCACGGCGATGCGGCCGCGGTGGCCGCGCCGGCGGTTGAGGAGGCGCTCCCAGCGCCGCAGGGCCCGCCGCTGCTCCGCCTTGCGCGCCAGGAACCGCAGCGCCCGCGGGGGCAACCCCCGCGGCCCCGCCCGCACCGGGCCCCCCGGGGCCCGCGCCAGGTCCGCGTGGAGCTGCCGGAGCAGCCCCCGGCACCGCAGGTTCCGCCGCGGCTCCCACGTGCTGGGCCGAGGCTGTAGCCCCGCCACTTCACCAGGTAGAACTCATCCTGGGGATAAACAGGGGTTAGGGGTCTAAACTGGGTCCTGGGTAACCTACAAGCACTTCACTAGGTAGAACTCTCGCCCTGGGGGATGAAACAGGGAGTAGTCTGGGTGGCTGCAACGGGGGTCTGGGGGTCCTGGTAACCCTGCCACTTCACCAGGTAGAACTCCTCGTCCTGGGGGGATGAACAGGGGAGTTAGGGGGGTCTGGGAGGTCCTGGGTAACCCCATCACTTCACCAGGTAGAACTCCTCGTCCTGGGGGGATAAACAGGGGGGTTAGAGGGGTCCTGGGTAGCCCTGCCACTTCACCAGGTAGAACTCCTCGTCCTGGGGGGTGAACAGGAGTTAGGGGGGTCAGGGGGGTCCTGGGTAACCCCATCACTTCACCAGGTAGAACTCCTCGTCCTGGGGGGAGAGACAGGGGTTAGGGGGGTCCTGGGTAACCCTGCCACTTCACCAGGTAGAACTCCTTGTCCTGGGGGATAAACAGGGGTTAGGAGGGGTCTGGGGAGTCAGGGGTCCTGGGTAGCCCTGCCACTTCACCAGGTAGAACTCCTCGTCCTGGGGATGGAAAGGGGGTTAGGGGGTCCTGGGTAACCCTGCCAGTTCACCAGGTAGAACTCCTCATCCTGGGGGTGGAAAGGGGGTTAGGAGGGGTCTGGGGGTTCAGGGGGTCCTGGGTAACCCTGCCACTTCACCAGGTAGAACTCCTCGTCCTGGGGATGGGGAAATAGGGGGTAAGGAGGGTCTGAGGGGGTCTGGGGTCCTGGGTAACCCCATCACTTCACCAGGTAGAACTCCCCGTCCTGGGGATGGGGGGATGAACAGGTGGGTCTGGGGGGTCCTCATGTCCTCAGGGGGTCAAGGCAGTCCTGGGGTGATCCTGAGAGGTGCCACCCTCTCAGTGCCCAGTGTGGGGGTCCCAGGGGTGCCACCCCAACTCAGTGCCAGCCTTGGGGGTCCCAGAGGTGGCCAGGGGGGGGGTCCCATCTCAGTGCCCGCTGTGGGGGTCCCAGGGGTGGTCTCAGCTCAGTGCCCACTGTGGGGGTCCCAGGGGTGCCACTCCCTCTCAGTGCCCACTATGGGGGTCCCGGGGTTGGCCGGGGTGGGGGTCCCATCTCAGTGCCCACTGTGGGGGTCCCAGGGGTGCCACCCCAGTTCAGTGCCAGGGTCCCTGTCAGTGGCCAGGGCAGGGGTCCCCTCTCAGTGCCCACTGTGGGGGTCCCAGGGGTGCCACCCTCTCTCAGTGCCCACTGTGGGGGTCCTGGGGTTGGCTGGGGTGGGGGTCCCATCTCAGTGCCCATTGTGGGGGTCCCAGGGGTGCCACCCCAGTTCAGTGCCACCCTTTGGGGTCCCTGTCAGTGGCCGGGGCGGGGGTCCCGCGCCCCCCTCTCACCCGGACTCGGCGGTAGTTGCACAGCAGCTCCACCTCGAAGTCGGCCAGGTTGCGGCGGGTGACGCCCAGGGCGCGGCACCGGAGCCGCTGCAGCCGGCACAGGTCCTGCAGCTGCTCCCAGGGGGACAGGCAGCACACCCGGCACTCTGGGGGGGGCACAGACACAGGGGGGGGCGTCAGAGACCGGAGAGACCCCCCCTCACCATCCCCCACCCAGCTCTGACCCCCCCGTGTCACCCCCCAAGGGAGCTGTGCCAGGTCCTGCAGCTGCTCCCAGGGGGACAGGCAGCACACCCGGCACTCTGGGGGCACACGGGGAGGGGGGCGTCAGAGACCGGAGAGACCCCTCACCATCCCTGACCACCCCCATCAACCCCCAGCACACCCAGCACGGGTCCTGCAGCTGCTCCCAGGGGGACAGGCAGCACACCCGGCACTCTGGGGGGGGCACAGACACAGGGGGGGCGTCAGAGACCGGCCAGACCCCCCCTCACCATCCCTGACCACCCCCCATCAACCCCCCAGCACACCCAGCACGGGTCCTGCAGCTGCTCCCAGGGGACAGGCAGCACACCCGGCACTCTGGGGGGGCACACAGGGGGAGGGGGGGGCGTCAGAGACCGGAGAGACCCCCCCTCACCATCCCCCACCCAGCTCTGACCCCCTGCATCACCCCCCAAGGGAGCTGTGCCAGGTCCTGCAGCTGCTCCCAGGGGACAGGCAGCACACCCGGCACTCTGGGGGGCACAGGGGAGGGGGGCGTCAGAGACCGGAGAGACCCCCTCACCATCCCTGACCACCCCCTGCCACCCCCAGCACACCTGGCACTCTGAGGGGGCACACAGGGGAGGGGGGCGTCACAGACCGGAGAGACCCCCTCACCATCCCTGACCACCCCCATCAACCCCCAGCACACCCAGCACGGGTCCTGCAGCTGCTCCCAGGGGACAGGCAGCACACCCGGCACTCTGGGGGCACAGACACAGGGGGGATCAGAGACCGGCCAGACCCCCCCTCACAATCCCTGACCACCCCCCATCAACCCCCCAGCACACCCAGCACGGGTCCTGCAGCTGCTCCCAGGGGGACAGGCAGCACACCCGGCACTCTGGGGGGGGCACAGACACAGGGGGGCGTCAGAGACCCGAGAGACCCCCCTCACCATCCCCCACCCAGCTCTGACCCCCGTGTCACCCCCAAGGGAGCTGTGCCAGGTCCTGCAGCTGCTCCCAGGGGGACAGGCAGCACACCCGGCACTCTGGGGGGCACACGAGGAGGGGGGCGTCAGAGACCGGAGAGACCCCCTCACCCCCTGACCACCCCCTGCCACCCCCCAGCACACCCAGCACGGGTCCTGCAGCTGCTCCCAGGGGACAGGCAGCATACCTGGCACTCTGGGGGGCACAGAGCACAGGGGGGCGTCAGAGACCGGAGACCCCCTCACCATCCCTGACCACCCCTGCCACCCCCAGCACACCCAGCACGGGTCCTGCAGCTGCTCCCAGGGGGACAGGCAGCACACCCAGCACTCTGGGGGCACACGGGGGAGGGGCGTCAGAGACCAGCCAGACCCCCTCACCATCCCTGACCACTCCCCATCAACCCCCCAGCACACCCGGCACTCTGGGGGCACACAGGGGAGGGGGCGTCAGGGACAGGACAGACCCCTCTTGTCACCCCTGTCACCCTCCCGACCCCCGTCACCTCCGTGTCACCCCCCGTGTCACCCTCCTGTCACCCCCCTCCTCACACCACGGGGGGTCACACAGGTGGGGGGGTGTCAGGGACAGGACAGACCCCCTTGTCACCCCTGTCACCCTCCCGACCCCCTGTCACCTCCGTGTCACCCCCCGTGTCACCCTCCTGTCACCCCCACACACACCGATGGGGGCACACAGGGTGAGGGGGTGTGTCAGGGACAGGACAGACCCCCTTGTCACCCCTGTCACCCTCCCGACCCCCTGTCACCCCCACCCCCACCAGGGTGACAGGGAGCACACGGAGCACCCTGGGGAGGGGGTGGGCACCAAAGTGAGGGGGGCGTCAAGGACAGGACAGACCCCTCTTGTCACCCCCCGTCACCCCTCCTGTCACCCCTCTTTCACTCACCCCCACCCCTGGGGAGGGGAGGTCACACAAAGTGAGGGGGGCGTCAGGGACAGGACAGACCCCCCTTGTCACCCCTGTCACCCTCCCGACCCCCTGTCACCTCCGTGTCACCCCCGTGTCACCCTCCTGTCACACCCCCCTCACACCACGGGGGGGGCACACAGGGTGAGGGGGGGGCGTCAGGGACAGGACAGACCCCCCTTGTCACCCCTGTCACCCTCCCGACCCCCTGTCACCTCCGTGTCACCCCCGTGTCACCCTCCTGTCACACCCCTCACACACACCGGGGGTCACACAGGTGGGGGGGCGTCAGGACAGGACAGACCCCCTTGTCACCCCTGTCACCCTCCCGACCCCCCTGTCACCTCCGTGTCACCCCCGTGTCACCCTCCTGTCACCCCCCCACACACCACGGGGTCACACAGGGTGGGGGGCCTAAGGGACAGGACAGACCCCCTTGTCACCCTGTCACCCTCCCGACCCCCTGTCACCTCCGTGTCACCCCCGTGTCACCCCCCTCACACCAGGGGCACACAGGGTGAGGGGGGCGTCAGGGACAGGACAGACCCCCCTTGTCACCCCTGTCACCCTCCTGACCCCCTGTCACCTCCGTGTCACCCCCGTGTCACCCTCCTGTGACCCCCTCCCCCACACCGGGGGTCACACAGGGTGGGGGTCACACGGGGGGGGCCTCAGGACAGGACAGACCACCACGGGTGACCCTCCCCACCCCCGGCCACCCTCCCCTCCTCCTCCTCCGTCCCCCCAAGCACAACCGACCATGTCGCGATATCGCGACTACAACGACAGGGAGAACAGGGAACACTTTGGGGGTGGGGGTGGGTCACACCGTGTGTAGGGGGCAGGGGGGACAAGAGGGGTCGTGAGGGACCAGACAGACCCCCTCACCCTCCCGTCACCCCCCGCCTCCTCAGCCACCCCCGCCTCCCTCAGCCGACGCATGTCGCGATATCGCGACCACGGTGACAGCGAGCACCCGGAGCACGCCGAGGGGGGGGTACGTTAATTAAGCTCGAGGGGGACGGACACGCATTAATTAAGGTCTGGGGGGGGTCATTAATTACGGCCGGGAGGGTCCGAGCCCCCCTCCTTCCTGCCCCCTCCCCTCAGGCGAGCGCGGGAACCGCCGCCCCCTCCCCTCACGTCCTCCCCGGACCCCCCCGGCCCTCCCCGGGCCCGCCCCGCTCGCGCCACCTTTTAAATTTTCCGCCATTTTTCGGCCGCCGCCGCTCTGCTTTCTTTTTTTTTCCCCTTTTCCGCCTTCTTTTTTTTTTTTTTTTTTTTTTCCTCTTTTTTTTTTTTTTTTTTTCGCGGCCCCGGCGCCGCTTCCGCCCGTGAGGCACCGCGCGCGGGCTGGGGGCGTGGCCGTGCCTCGCGCGCCCGCCGCTCATTGGCTGGCGGGCCGCCTCATTTGCATGCCCGCCGTCTCCCCATTGGCGGGCCGCGCTGGCTCATTTACATATTAACCGCTCGCGCCCCGTGCCCGCCTCCCATTGGCCGCCGCGCCGCGTCATTTGCATACTGACAGCTTCCCGCCCTCTCCCCATTGGCCGCCGCGGGGGTTCATTTGCATAACAACCAGCCCCGCCCTCCCTCGGTGCCCATTGGCCGCCGCGCTGCTTCATTTGCATATCCCTCCTTCCCGCCCTGCCGCCTTATTTGCATAGTAAAGAGCTTCCTCCGCCTCTTATTGGCTGTCGCGCCGTCTCATTTGCATACGGCTCCCATCACCCCCCGCGCTCCGCCGCGGCCCCGAAAATCGCCGGTTTTGCCCCATTTTGGCCGCGGTTTTTCCCGGAGGTGCTCGGGGGGAGTCGGGAACCCCCCAACCCCCACCCCAGGAGCGGTTCTGACCGCTCCCCCTGAGCCCGGTTCCTCGCTAATTAATCGGTAATTAATTAACGGTCACGTGACTCCTGGAGTTTATTTGGCGCCTGCGGTGGGGGAGGGGGGTAATGAGGGAAGGGGGGCAGGAGGGGTCTGTGACCCCCAAACATCCACTCCCAGGGATGGGGCGGATTGGGGAGGGAGGGGACAATTTGGGGAGGGGGCGAAACCCCCAGAGTCGGGTGGGATTTGGGAAAGGGAGGGAAATGTTGGGGGCACTTTGGGGGTCTTGGAGGGGAGGAAGGCAGAAACCCCCAAAAAGTCGGGTGGGATTTGGGGAGGGGTTGGGGGCACTTTGGGGGTCTGGGAGTCGGTGGGGGTGTTGGGGGCACATTGAGGGTCTTGGAGGGAAGGGGAGCAGAGACCTCCCCAGGAGTTGGGTGGGATTTGGGGGGTCCAGAGTCGGGTGGGAGGGATTAGACTGGGGAGGGAGGGGGCCACACTGGGGGTCTTGGGAGGTGAAAGGGGCCGAGACCCCCAGAGTCAGATGGGATTGGGGAGAGGTTGGGGGCACTTTGGGGTCTGGGGGTCGGTGGGGGATGTTGGGGCACATTGGGGTCTTGGAGGAGGAGTGGCAGAACCCCCAAGAGTTGGGTGGGATTTGGGGGGTTGGGGGCACTTTGGGGGTCTTGGAGGGGAAGGGGCCGAGACCCCCAGAGTCAGATGGGATTGGGGGGGTTGGGAGCACTTTGGGGTCTGGGGGTCGGTGGGGAGTGTTGGAGGCACATTGGGGGTCTTGGAGGGGAGGGTGCAGAACCCCCCAAGAGTTGGGTGAGATTTGGGGGTTGGGGGCACTTTGAGGGTCTGAGGGGGGATCAGAGTCGGGTGGGAGGGATTAGACCGGGGAGGGGAGGGGGACCACACTGGGGGTCTGGGGGGAAGGAGCAGAGACCCCCTCAGAGTCAGGTGGGACTGGGGGTGATTTGGGGGCCACATTGGGGGTCTCGGAGGAGGGCAGAGACGCCCCTCAGAGTCGGGTGGGATTTGGGAGAGGGGTTGGGGCACTTGGGGGTCTGGGGTCCAGAGTCGGGTGGGAGGGATTAGACTGGGGAGGGGGGGGCACACTGGGGTCTTGGGAGGTGGAAAGGGGTCGAGACCCCCAGAGTCAGATGGGATTGGGGGGTTGGGGGCCACATTGGGAGGTCTGGGGGAAGGAGGGCCGAGACCCCCTCAGAGTCAGGTGGCACTGGGGGGTGATTTGGGGGCCACATTGGGGTCTTGGAGGAGGGCAAGACCCCCAGAGTCAGATGGGATATGGGGGGCTGGGGCCACATTGGGGTCTTGGAGGAGGGGGCTGAGACCCCCTAGAGTCGAGGTGGGACTGGTGGGGTTTTGGGAGTCTGTGCCTCCTCAGAGGAGCAAGAGGAAAGGTTGGGGAGGGGTCCTTGAAGCCGGGGGGGTCTGGGGGTGTCCACGCCCTCCAAATTTGGGGGGTCTCAATCGTCCCACTCTGTCGTCCTCCTCCTCCTCCTCGCTGTCCTCGCCCTCCTCTGGGGGAGATAAAGGGGTCGGGGGGTCTGAGGTGCCCAGCCCAGGGTCCCAGGGTGGGGTGGGGGTCCCGGGGTGGGGTGGGGGTCCCGGGGTCTCACCTGAGGAGTGGATGACGCGGCTCCGTTTCTGCATCACGTCCATGAGGGCCCCACGAGCCCCCCCGCGCCGGGGCCGGGGCCGCCCTCGGGGGTCTCGGGGGTCTGGGGGGTTGGGGGTCAGAGGGATCACCGGGCAACGACCCCCACCCAGATTCAGCTGCCCCCACATCGTGGAACTCCCTGACCCCCAAAGGATAACGAGACCCTCCCCAAAAAAGATAATGGGACCCCCCAAAAGAGATAATGGACCCCCCAAAGAGATAATGGACCTCCCAAAGAGATAATGGGACCCCCAAATATAATGGGACCCCTCCCCAAAAAGATGGGACCCCCAAGAGATAATGGGACCCCTCCCCAAATATAATGGACCCCTCCCCAAAAAAGATAATGGGACCTCCCAAAGAGATAATGGACCCTCCCCAAAGAGATAATGGGACCCCAAAAGATAATGGACCCCTCCCAAAAAAGAATAATGGGACCCCCTAAAGAGATAATGGGACCCTCCCCAAATATAATGGGACCCCCTCCCCAAGTCATTCCAGTCCCGAGGGTCGCGGGACCCCCAGACCCCCTAAAAGGGACCTGGGAGCCCCTCAGACCCCCTCCCCAGAAGATAATGGGACCCCCATCCAAGTCATTCCAGTCCTGGGGGTCGCCTGAGCCCCCCAGACCCTCCCTGGAGGTCTTGAGAGCCCCTCCCCCATCCCGGTGGTCTGAGACCCCCACTCGATCATCCGGGGGTCCCAGGACCCTCCCATCTCTGCCTCCCAGCTCGGGGGTCCCAGGACTCCTCCATCCTCCCCATCCCCGGGGTCCCAGGACCACCCAAGCCCCTCCTCCACTCCATGTCAGGGTCCTGGGACCCCCCTCTCCCGGATCCCTCCCCACTCCGGGGGTCCCAGGACTCCCCATCCCTCCCAAACCCCCGGGGTCCTGAGAAACTCCCCAGTCCCAGAACCCCTCTCCCCCTCGGGGTCCTGAGCCCCCAAACTCCCCTCGGGGGTCCCAAGCCCCCCACTGACCTTGTTGAGTCACCCCTGCCGAATCTGGTCCAGCAGCGCCCCCCGCCCCGGGGGCCGCGGGGGCTCTGGGGTCCCCGGCTGGAGGAGGGTCCCGGAGGTGGGGGCCAGGGGTGGGGGAGGCCTGGGGGCGGAGCCTCGAGCAGGGAGGGCGGGGCCTCGAGCGGGGGAGGGCGGGAGGAGGGGCCTCCCGGGTGGGGAGGGCCGGGACCCCGGGCGGGGCAGGGGGCCGGGGAGGGGCAGGGTGCCACGGCCCGGGGGTGGGGAGGACCTGGGGGAGGGAGGGTGAGAAAGGAGGGTTAGAGGGGCTGGGGGGCACCGAGACACTCCACAGGTGCCCCCTGTGCCCCCGATACCCGAATGCTCCCAGGTGCCCCCCAAGGTCATCCAGGACCCCCAGCGCCCACCACTGCCTCCCCCATCTCCTCCTCTGCCCTCGATGAAGGTGCCCCAGGTACCCCCAGGACCCTCCTGGTGCCCCCAGGACCCCCCAGAACCCCCTCAATGCCCCCAAGACCCCCAGTGCCCACCTGCCTCCCCATCTCCTCCCTGCCCTCTAGGAAGGTGCCCCCAGGTACCCCCCAGGACCCTCCCAATGACCCCCAGTGCCCCTGGTGCCCCCCAGGATCCCCCAGTGCCCACCCTGCCTCCTCATCTCCTCCTGCCCACTCCAGTGAAGGTGCCCCCAGGTACCCCCCTAGGTACCCCAAGGACCCTCCTGGTGCCCCCAGGACCCCCAATGCCCCCAGAACCCCCAGTGCCCACCCTGCCTCCCCATCTCCTCCCTGCCCTCAATGGAAGGTGCCCCCAGGTACCCCAGGACCCCCTGGTGCCCCCAGGACCCCCAGAACCCCCTCAATGCCCCCAGGCCCCCAGTGCCCACCCTGCCTCCTCATCTCCTCTCCCCCAACTCCTGGATGCCCCCCTGCTCTCCAGGAAGGTGTCACCAGACCCTCCCAATGACCCCCAGTGCCCCCAGTACCCTCCCAGTACCATCCCAGACCCCCAGTGCCCACCCTGCCTCCTCATCTCCCCTCCCTGACGGCCTGATGCCCCCTGCTCTCAGGAAGGTGTCACCCAGGACCCTCCAGGACCCTCCCAGTGACCCTCAGACCCCCAGTGCCCCCAGGGCCCCTGAAATGACCCCAGTGCCCCCAGGATCCTCCCAGTGCCCCTTTGTGCCCACCCTGCCCCTCATCTCCTCCCTGACGGTCTGGATGCCCCTGCCCTCGATGAAGGTGTCCCCAGGTACCCCAGGACCCTCCCAGTGCCACCCAGACTCCCCAGGGCCCCTGAAATGACCCCAGTGCCCCAGGACACTCCCAGTGCCCACAGACCCTCCCAGTACCCTCCCAGTGCCCACCCTGCCTCCTCATCTCCTCCCTGACGGCCTGGATGCCCCCTGCTCTCCAGGAAGGTGTCACCCAGGTACCCCCAGTGCCCCCAGGACCCTCCCAGTGCCCCCAGGACCCTCCCAGTGCTCCCCAGACACCCCAGTGCCCCCAGACCCCCAGTGCCCCCTTGTGCCCACCCTGCCTCTCATCTCTCCCTGACGGCCTGGATGCCGCCCTGCCCTCGATGAAAGTGTCACCCAGGACCCTCCAGTGCCCCCAGTGTCCCCTAGTACCCTCCCAGTGGCCCCCAGACCCCCCAGTGCCCCCCTTTGTGCCCACCCTGCCTCCTCATCTCCTCCCTGACAGCCTGGATGCCGCCCCTGCTCTCCAGGAAGGTGTCACCCAGGTACCCCCAGTGCCCCCAGT